TTGCGAAAATCGATTTCATCTCGGATATTAGAGACGTATCAGTCATTGTATACTGCGTGTTTAAACGACTACTTTTTATTACGTTCACGTGTCGATATATAATGTCATTGCGACTCGATGTATGTAACGAAATATTACGTGTAATTCAGAGTCGTTAACTCGGCTTCCCCTTATTATTTGTACTCGTTACAAATAATGGTTGGGTTGTCAAGAAAATCGCTTACTCTTAGGCTTAACGCCAGACAGATATCAGACATTGGTTGCTGAGTCGAACAGCTTCGTTCAAACACGTTTGAGAATTTAAAAATATTATCAATGATATTGAAAAAAGAAAATTTTAAACATTCGATCGAAATAATCAAAATGGAAAATCGTAGACTAATTTTTTGAATGAATCTGATTTAACGAATCATAATTATACAATGTAACAAAATTGGATGTAACAAAATTCTTGTGAATTTTTTTGTTGAATTTTATTTTTATAATTGATCAGTTGTAATTGAATAATTAATGCATATATTAGTTAATGCATGTTTGAAATTTCTCTTTTGAATAATATTTTTTATACTTCTATTCAATTTCTTTTCGATTTTTTTGATCGAAAGAATAAACGATAGCCTCGTTAAACCTCGCATTGAATTTGTAAAAAAAAAAAAAGTTTAAAAAAGACGGGAAAGGAGAAACTAGTTGTTGGAGAAGAGCAACGTTAGTCAAACTGAATGCAATGGAACAAGACCATCAGGTCGGATTACGATGCGACAAGATACAAGCGAAGTTTTTCTCAACTTTTCATTTAAGCAATTTAACAATTTATGAACCACGAACGCTTGAATATCGTGGAAACACAAGATTCACTCCTCTCTTCGCTTTATTCTCATCTCGGCTTTCATCAACCATCGAACGATGTAATTCCATCCCTTTGTTATCCTTCAAATTGTTTCACTATTATCGGCTGAACAAACAGCTGCTCTATTATCATTGCTATTACGATCGTGTTATAATATAACAACCGCGATACACGTTCTCTTGTGCGTTCTAAACGTGCATAAATTGAATTCTTCTCAAACGAGAAACTCTCTTACTTACGATCCCTCTTTATGTTTCATTTTCACGCTTGTTTGTCAATTCAAATCCGTCTCGCTTCAGCTTTCATATTTTTTAACTAAAATCCTTTGTAGTCGCTTCTTAAAATTATCTTCGAAATTTCTTGATTTTCTAACGTTCTCTCGTCATTAATATTAATTATTTTTTTTTTTCTAACGAATACGACAAGTGATCCTCGACAAGAGAATTTAGTGAATTATCTAATGCAAATGCGTCTTTATTATTTTCAAACCAGTCGTGCTCAAGAGACAACAATATAATATTCTGATTAACTAAAAGATAACGTACGGAAACATTGCCTGAAGCTATGAATGAAAATTGGTAGAATCTTGAGTTGAAGATAAATAGATTGAACGAATGAAATGACACCTGGTGAGACGGTTTATAACAGTATGTACATATATTCGGAATTAGTTCAAAGACACTGATTTGCGATATACATCGGAGAACACTCTTCGACTTCTGACGATCTTTCCGCCAAGTTATGCATATCGTTGTAAACTCTCCAGTATGGATACGTAGATTTAGTCCGCGCTGTCTTGTTTTCAACGTCCGTTATATCTCTCATTGGAAAATATAGCTTCGGTCCTTTGAAACTGCGGCCGACCAGCCTCTTAATCAAAGTTGACAAAATTACTTTCCTCTTACTTTAGAATTATTTTAGGATTTATTACTTTACGTTACTTTAGGATTTATTTGCAAACAGAAATGACAAATGGAAACAATGGAAAACCTGTAGACCGACAATTCCACGTCTTTGTAATACGAAAAACTGATTTGTGCGAACGATTAACAAGGAACAATACGATCGAGTTTCGGTTAATCCTATATCCGCTCGAAGAAAATATTTATTACGAATGATAAAGAGATTTTTTTTTTATGTTTTGATCATCTTTCAAAATAAATTTCCTTAGAAATAAGAAAAAATTTCTTCATTGTGTTTTTCTTATAAAAAAAGTACTAAAATTTGAGACCTATCGTATCATAAATAGATATATTTGTTATTTAATCATTTGATAATTATTTAAAATACCATTGCAAATTAACAACAAATAATATCGTATAAAGCAACGATTAATAATTTTTTATTTTTGAGAATAAAAATTTCTTTCGAATACAATTTTTATTCAGTATAATTTTTTTTAATTTAGAAATTTTCACAAAAATTGTCTTTATAAGAGTATTTTTATTATCTTCGGAATTATTATATGTACAGCTCTTTTTTTTGTTATTTTATTTAAAAGTAAAAAAGTTGGTCTTTTAATGAATTTTCTATTTTGATTCGTTTAATTTTTCCAGTAAAATAAAAATATTAAAATTATAATATTTGCAAGGACCAAAAAATTCAAAATATCTTCTTGAACAATAATGTTCGTGAATTAGAGAAATGAAATTTGAAAAGGAACGAATGTATTTCTTTTAAATTATTTAAGACTCGAATCGAGTTATAATTTATAAAATTATAAAAATTGATAGAAATAAAGTAAAAAGTTATTAAAAAAGAATAATTTTTTTGTGAAAATCTAGTAATTTTAATAATAAAAATATTCGTTATTATAATTAATGTCAATCAATTATATTCTGCATTACTATATCTTGTCTTCTAAAAATTTCTTCTGTGCCCAACTTTAACGATATTCCATTATCGAATTACACGAAAAATTCAATATAAAATAATACTTCTAAAATTGCTATTTTCCATTTCATCTTTTATTCCATTCTTTCGATTCATTTCTGATACCTCTACAATAGCCGAAAAATCCTAACTACCGGTTACATTTCTCAACTATTGTGCTACCCTGACAAGATTAGAATAGGAGTTGGTGAATGGCGAAAACTGAAAGATACGATCATACACAATTCCAACGATGGATGTTGAATGTTTTCCACGATAGATAGTTTCGCGGTCGGCTAACTTTTCTCAGATATCCGTGGAAAAGTATAAGTTCGCCGTGGCCCAACTAAAAGTGAAAATTTTCGCGCGACTGCCATCTATAAATTTCGAACTTTCGTCGTGGATAAAGCGACGTGTCTCTCCACTCCCGGAAACTTTCCAGCTGGCAAAAGAAGCGAGACACACAGGAACGTCCAGCGTTTACGCGTAACAAAAAAGATACTGGATGGAGAGGAAAAGAGTCTGAGAAAACTGGCTGGATGAAAGAAGCTTTCTTTCTTACAAGGCGAGCAAACTATTTCTTCCATGAGAACGATATTTCATAATTATCACCGTCCATTTGCCTTTTTTATTTTTCGCATAATTATTGTGATTGCCTTTTCTTACGATGGCAGTGGCAATATTGGCGATTCTAAGAAGACGTTTGCTCGCATTTTTGATAAGATTGGAAAAGTAACTGAGACGTGATTATAACATTTTGGCTTTTCAAACATTTTAAATTCGATGCAATTTTTTTTAATATTATTTTCTATTTTTTCAGTTATAACATTATATTATTTTCTGTCGAAATACAATTTTAAAAATATTATATTTCTCAAGTTTTTTTTGCATAAATCAACTAGTATTATTTTTTATTTATTTTCATTATATTATTTCATTTCTGTTCATTTACTTAAAATATATAATCTGTCTACAATATAGTATATAAAGTATATACTAGAAGTCAATATTTAATTCTAATATTAAAAAAAAAAAAAAGAAAGAAAAAAGAAACAAAGATTAATTTACAGATTTTATAACAAGAACATTTTATAACTACAATAAATAAGAAGATATACGCGTAATTACATTATAAACGTTGGAGCGCACAAACAAGATGATAAATGCATTTCGGTAAATGGCGATAAATAAATAATGTATTCTGAATTTGCCATCGTTGGCGAATCATTCTCAGCGAATGTTCGCTTTTTAGACGTTACTGAAGAGAGGATATCATCAAAATGAAACTGTGGTTTCTGTTTCAGACAATCTATATATTTATATGTCAATCCACAAATATTTTCGAATATTTTCTTATCATTATATTTTCTTTTTATTGAAAATATGCTATTTTTCTTGAAACACACTACTTTTTTCACAATTTTACAATTGTGTTTTTTTTGACAAAACAACATTTATGTATTTGTAACATATATTACTTATTATATGAAATTCACTGTATCGCTATACAAATATTATTTTACATTATTATATATAAAGAACTTCGAAACTTCGCTTAACAAATTTTCTTACTTTGTATAATTTTTTCAAAACGAGCAAAACAATAAATGAATAAAATATGCGTCAAAGCTGATATGATTTTCTACCGTGTATCGCTCACATTTCAAAATATTTTTAAACTTTTTAAACTCCGTACTCGCGTGAAAAGTGGATTGCTCGTAGAAAATTCGTCGTAATATATTCAAGGCAACGTTGATCTACGAATAATTATGCGACCATCTCGTTGCTACAATAATCGCAATAACATTCTCAGTAGCAGTTAAACAATACTTAAATTTCCGTTTCACATCATTTATTATGCAATGTATAAATAACCAACGTATGAATTCATTTGTACAATAATTATTATAATATTAACGAAATAGAAAATACGACGAATCCTCGAAAATTCGAGAGCGATTGGATGATTTTTTTCATTGATCATCATGATTTCTCTTTATTATTATTATTATTATTATCTCTTTTTCTTTCAACCTTTAGTTAGTTATTAATTTTAGTTTTCTAATTATTAGTATTAGTTATTAATTTTCTTCTAATTTTATGTTTGATTAAAAATTATTATTATTTTCTTTTTTCGTGTAATTTTCACTTTATGAATTCATTAATGCGAAAATTAAGAACAAGAGAAAAAAGAAATATCAGAAAAGAAGCATTCTTATCTTTATTCTATTTTCTTTTCTCTTTTTTTCTCATCTTTACTGTTTTTACTTTTTTTCTCCAGAATGTTGGCAGCTGGTAATAAAAACCATGAACATACCATCAATGGTGAAAGCCGACGACACCGATTACGTGATTCTGGACTGCGACTACGATCTCGAGGACACGCCGAGCAAGGGATTAGTCGTAAAATGGTTCTTCAATGCCAACGAAGTGGCTTACCAATGGATATACGGTAGGGACCCTTTGGCCGGGGACATTACGCGGAAGTACGTCGATCTGAAGTACAAAGCCAGCGACGATCCGTACACCACGTATCGAGCCATGAAATTGAATAAGCCTGGTATCGATCTTACTGGCGAATACAAGTGCGTCATATCCACTTACGCGGACGAACGGTCCGCGAGTTCCTCCATGGTTGTGTATTGTAAGTATCCATTTATTAATCTATTACTATTACTATTCATTTATTATCTTTTATCTCGATTTATGTCGGATCGATTATCTTTTTTGTTATCGCAGTTACGCGATTTTCTTCTCTTTTAATTTTTTTTCTCTCTTTTTCATTCTTTTCTATCTCTATTAATCATAATTTCTTCGTTTCTCTATTAGTTGAAATCCACCAATGATTTTTTAATGAATTTTCTTTCATCATCAGTTTTTTTAGTTATAAGGAATTTTGTATTATATAATTTTGATATTGATTTTAAATTAAATTTTATTTAGTACTTATTAAAAAAGTTATTATTATTTAGTATTTATTACTTATTATATATTAAGAAAAAGCAATTATGATTAATGAAAAAAACGATACTATAACTTTTATTAGCATTCATTCCTAATATTTTTACAATTACAATTGGATATGTTCAAATTTGTAAAAGTTTAATCTTTCAAAATTTAATTATCGCTATTTTTATAACAAGAATATTCGCTATATCTCATTATGAACAGTTTTTTTATTTCTATCGCAAACTTTTCAAGTCAATAAATCGTTATTATTTATTAATCAAATGATACTAACTTATTACTTCTATCGCTTAAATTATATCTTCGCTTTAATTGTTATTTTTGTATGTATACGTAGTACGCGTATAATTGAATTTATTTCGTTTTATTTTATTTAAATAGGAAAGCATCTCAAGTACCTTCCGATGCAAACCGATTATAAATTACAAAATTTCTATAAAACTCTCATACTCGATAAATTTAATGAAACAAAATTTTCACATTTTCAAAATCTTATTTCTTTTTTAATTCAAACTTCTATCTATTTATAAGATAAAATACGATATAATGTTATAGATAAGATATAATATTATTTCAATGAATTCGCAATAATTAAATATTTAAAGCTACAAATTTCTTTTTTCTTCTGTTTAACCAGCTGATTCGATTGCACCATTGTTAAATATTGAAATATGAATAAATAAATATTGAACCATGTGTTAAATATTGAAATCTTAAATCGCAATATCGATGTCAACGATATTAGCCGAAATGTTACGTCGGAACGTATTATCTCAGATTATTAATATAATCCATAGATTATCGATACTTTTCTTTTTACCTACGATATGAAATTGAGATCTTGGATATCGTTGAGTCAGAAAGTAATTACGTTACCTCTTTCTCGACCTCTGCTCACTTCCTGTTGGGGAATCGATCCTTAAGGAACCGTTTAAAATGTTTCAAAAAGAAATCGCTATGGTCGGTCACGTTTCTTCGACAAGAAGAATATTATCGATAAAGTACGACATAATTTCTCTTTTGTCTATTGTCGTTCGAAAAAGGGGTAATTTTCGGAGTGATTTAGTGCGAAAATAATAGCAGGAAAACGGATAAAATCGAGAACGAATTTCAATATCGTTTCATCGAAATGAATATATTGTCTGGTCAATATCGGGTATCGAAGAATATCATTGGAAAAATACGTGACGTAAGTCACGATAAATCGTAATAAAAAAATTTACAAAAAACAAGTAAAATTTCACGTGATTGTTTCACATCGATTATGAGATAATTCAAAGGCGCATTCCTTTTATAATAATAAATTTTGCACAAAAAAATAAAAAAAAATCATTAAACTTCGATCGAGTTTTATAATCATAACAAAAAAATATCGGTTTAATTGACTTAACTAATATAATATATATTGATTTTAATGAAATTTCACACAATTGTTTATTGAATCAATCTAAAAATTTTATTATATTTTTTCCAGAATTCTTAAGTCAACACGAAGAACAATTGGATAAAATTTCATTTAAAATTGATATATCAATTATCGATGTTTCTTTATAAATTTCAATTGTTTCATTTTTATCTTCTAATTTTCTTTTAATATAAAATAATTAAAAAAAAAAGAAGAAAGAGAAGATTTAGAGAAAATTTAATTTTTTAAGATATGAAAATAAAAATATTTTATACGATTTTATTCTATAAAATAAATTCGAGATGTATTTCTATATTAAGATTAATCGTTAATTATTATTCGTTATTGATCGTTTTAAAATTGTTCATTCTCAATATTTTGTATTGTATCTTACAATTTCGTTTAGACGAATTTATAATTCAATTCAATGATTAAAAAATTATTCTATACAATTTTTTATAAACATTTTTTTTTTAAATCGCCTATCTCTCTCTCTCTCTCTCTCTCTGTCTCTCTCTCTCTCTTTCTTTTTCTTTTTATCTCTCTCATCTATCTATCTATCTATCTATCTATCTATCTATCTTTTGCTTTCATAGATAGAATAAATTCTTTTCACGGGTATTAAATACAAGAGGAATAAAAAGAACCAATAGAAAAAAGACTCGAAGAATAAACGGACGAACGCGATGTTGAATCATGATACAATTGCTATCGCGATATTGACTTTAGCTCTATTTTTATATTTACTCCGTAAAAAGTATAAGCTAGTGTATTGTGTATCGCGTGTATGCTTTGTGACGAACGATAAATACGCGATATTTGTCAAATCATGTAACATTTTTACATGTCTCGCGTAGTTTGACGCGACGTCTCACGACTAAGAGTGATGTTGCGTGAAATAATTCTTGAAAAATAGCGACGCGATATAGAACAAAAGGTATTGCTTACTCTGATCGAATCAAAAGCAACGATCATTCTTTGTTTTCCGTCACTTGGATTTTAATTATTCTAACTGACAATTTGTTACACGTCTGATTGATTCCAACAATAATAATAATTGGAAAATATATGTATAGTATATTGTAGTATAATTGCATAATATAATTAAGAAATAATAATATTTTCTTCCTTCGAAGAATTAGCAAAAAAAATGATATTTGAAAATATATAATTAATAACATTAAATATATAGATTACTTGAAAAATAAATTTAATAAATATATTGTTTTCTATTCTTTCTAAAAATGAAAAAAAGTTACATAAAAATAAGTTTAAACAAATTATTCAAAAATAATATATTCTTCTACGAGTCAATTAGAAAAATTAATCTACATCAACAATGAAAATTAATTTCATTAAAAATATATTTTTCTATTTCTTTATATTATATTAATTAATAACTTCTGCAAGAATGTATAATTACATAATAATATATCGAAATCGATCCCACTTTTCGTCCTAATTATTTTAATTAACGAAAATTTTTGTTAATATTTTTGAAATTAATATTATTTTCAATATCTTGTTTATCAAATTTTGCGAAATGTAACATTATCTATTCGAGTATTACAAAATTTCATGCTCGACCGATTTTATTCGCGAAAGATATAATTAACTTGTTCCTTTTACTCGTTCCTTAGCTTCACTTGTTTTCCTTTCGATATAACTACCGAATTCATCTATAATTAAATTGTTTCAACCATGATGCGCAACATTAAATCTACGAACAATATTATAAATAAAATTTATAATATTGTGTTTACGATATAAATCTTTATCTAATTTTTGAAACAAAATTTAATCTATGATCTTTCTAGATTGGATATTTATAATATTTTCTTTTTTTTTCAAATAAAAATTCTTAACTTATAACTTCATTTTTGATAAAATATCTATCAAATTTATAAAATATTTCTTTAATTTTATCTTTTTTCTTCAAAATCTCTTATTTTTTATAATTAAAATTTCCTTATTTTCTGCAATTAAAGTTTCCTTATCTCTTCATTCATCTTACAAAAACATTCAATCGTTCTTCCAATACTAAATAATTGTCACTTTTCCGTTGGATTTCTCGAACACACAAAAGGTTTCTCGTAATTCAGCACATCACGTATGCAAAGCAGAGAGAATATTTGCACCATAGTATCATATTCGAGCATTCTTAGGCAATAGAGATAACGATTAATTATCGATCAATGAAAGAGGAATAGTAATATACGAGAGATCAAAATATCATTCACTAAAATAATGGCAAATATTTGATCGAGTAAAATTATAATGGCGTGTCTTGAACATAAATCATTTCAACCGATGATGGAAAAAATATCCGATTAATTCGTTCGATCATTTAAAACTCTCTCTTCGTCTGTCGAAGTCATCAGTTGATTTTTTACTTTGATACTTTTCGAAATTATCATATTTTTTGAAAAATCTTTCCAAAAATTTATATAAATTTTTTACCATCATATTTTTTCTATTTTCAAAGTTGAGATTCGTACTCTTGATGTTTAAGTTTAATCTATTGAATAATGTTTTAAATTATTTTTTTTATAGCTCCGATACTAACTATTTTATATTTTATCTATATTTAATATATATTTTATCTATTTTAATCTATATTTAATAAGTAAATCCTCATATTACATTACTTTAAGTTTAATTAAATCATATAAATTTAAAAATTATTATGAAATTTTTTTAGTAGCATCTGATGAATTTATAAAACTATAATTATTTCTCGAAGAAGAATCTTGACCAAAACGAATAATAATTAATTCATTGAGTCATCGTTATTTCGTATGAAATTAGAATAATCAGACAAATTTGGCAAATTGTAAGCAAGCAAGAGACCGATCTCTTGCTTGCTTGTTTTTTTTTCGCATCATGTACGAGAAATAGAAAGCGTGCACTTAACTTTCGCGAGCATTTTAATGCTTTTTTCTTTTCCAACATACATTTCCGGGGCGGAGGTTCAGTTTAAAATGTTTCGAGTTGTTTTGTTACGATGTTACATATCACGCACAATTTTGTGTTTCTTTTCCTTTCTTCTAAACTCTTCTTTCAAACATGAAAGTCAAGTTACATGCGAACTTTTATCATTCAAATTGAAAATTTCCTTTTAAAATGAATTTCAACCATCCGAATACCGCCAATTCAGATATTTGATTTTTAAAAATTAATATCTTTCATCTTATATCTTTTGAAAAAGAAAGTATTTGAGAAAGAATAATTATAATTTCTTATTTTCATCATTTACATTCTTGATCATTATAACTTGTTTTATCGAATATTTGGCATGTACCATAAGATTATCATTACAATGGAAAAATTTATATTGAATAATTTAATACTGCATTAAATTAAGCGGACTCGTTCATTATTCAACATCGGCATACCATACCATTTTATCATCTTTTCAAATGATTTAATAATATATATCTCCTTTCGAACAATTTTGTGATTAATTTGATTAAATTTTGATTTTGATTATTATTCAAATAATCGATGATTAACTATTATTATTTAGATAAAAGTTTTCATTTGAAAAAAAAATTACATCCATTATTTTATTTCGTTTAAAACTTTATCATGCGAATACAAGAAAACGTCAATGTATAATTTCAATCGATATATCTCGTTAGTCGTTACTATATTTGCAGAAAATCTTATTGCAAATGCTATAACTATATTTGTACAAAATCATTAAAGATACATTTATTGGTATGTTTCCAAGTAATAATTTTGCAAGTTCGCGTAGAAAATCTTGATTTACCGCAAAACTTCTATGTAAACTCATCTGGTTCCATTTATCGTAGATATATGTAAATGTTGCAGCGATATTATCTTCCATTAAAAACGAATATGAATTTTCAGTAATAATTAAGATATATAATAACTTTGAAAATATTGAATGATTAATTCTGTACATCTTTTCTTTGTAGAACATGATTTCTTCAAAGATATAGTTCCACGACAAATACCAAGTTAAAGAAAGGAAAACGAAAAGACCATTTATTCGCACAAATATATCGCATAAAGTATTCAATTCGAATTTGTTTTACAATTTTCAAACGAAAAAAAAAAAAAAGAAAAGCAAAAATTCGATTATGTTTTATATTCACAATAGAATCCGGCTTTTGAAGCGGTATCTCAATATCTAGACTTTCTTTTTCAATGGCATCAGTATAACGCCACCCAGGAACGCTATATAATTTGAATGTTTCTGTCATAGTGACACATATGTAATTTATTTTTTCCGGCTCATGTTTAGTTTATCCCTTCGAAAAATAAAAGTAGCAACAAAATGAAAGCATAAGAGAAACAAAGCTGGAAAAAGAAAAAAAAAGAAGAAGGAGAGAAGAAGCTCAAACGACAGAAGTCTAAGGATTGAAAAACGTGCAGCATTATCGTGATAATACAACGACGTTTTCAATGGACAGCGCGCGACTGTATCCATTATTATTACCTTTTTATTTTTATTGCCGTACGTGTGGCTGTCACAAAATATTTCCAGACTTGTGTACCATCTCCTTGTCTCGAATCGATGCACGATCGTAAACTTGTTGTCTTATAACCGCGCATTAATAGTCCGTACCAAATTGAATGTTCAATTCGAACAACTGAAATCATTTCGCTATAATGTTTTCTAACGACAAAAACAGGAAAGAATCGACTAACTGATATTTCCAAAACCTTCTCTATCCCGAGATGAAATAGAATGTTATATAATTAAAAGGTGAAATTGGTTTGACCCTGATCTAAAAGATTACGTGGAAAAAATTTATTATATTTATTATTATAAGCAATAACTAATTAAGTTAAATGATATTTCAATATTTTCAAATGATAAATGATAAAATTTCATTTTAAAGATATTTTCATATTCATAATAAAGAAAATTTTATAGCAATTTTATCAGTTTGATAAAATTGTTTATAAAAAAAAAGTTTATATTTTTTTAAATTTCTCGTGATCTTAAACATCAAAAATATCAACCAAACTTTTTTAGGAATTCCTTTTTTCTCAACTTCAACCAAAGTGTAACGAAGATTAAAAACGAGATACCTCAATTGGACAATCGTTATAATCAATTACACAGGTAGACATATTGAAGGAACAATGTGAATCACTCAAACTCCATAGTATCTGTTGAAATCACTTTGTAATTTGATATTTAGTGAAACTGAAATTATTTCAAACAATGCAGATTCGCAAAGGAAATTACCTAAATTTTTATTTATTTTACTATCTTTATTTGCTCGAATATTCCTTTTTCAAGAAAAAATTATCAATCAAATTTTCTAAGTTTTAAATCTGCATAAATGGAATAAAAGATAATTTATTCTATAAAAAAAATTGTTACGGAACTTATTCCTTTATCAATTGTCTATTTTCTAAATTGCATTGATAATCCAATAAGAACGAAAGGAAATTTAACTTTTCCTCATCTTTATTAGGAATTGTATTTCTATATTTAGGATTCTATAGGATTAAGACGACTTGAATTCTCGTTGTATAGACACGTGAAATTCTTCGAAACTATGTCTGAGTTAAATTAGAATTGATTTTAAATGCGGAATCTGGAAAAAATGAACAAGTGCGGACGAAAGATTCGATTTAGAGCTAATGGATCGTACATGTTGCTGAATTTCTTCCAAGTGAAATAGCGTAAAATTGTATTGGTATACATTTATACACATTTTCAAATCCAATATCTAAAAACTAAAAATAATAGTTTCTTTTTTACAAAAATATTCACAAAAAAGTTTATATTTTTTTAAATAAAATGTAATAATAAATTCTAAAGAGATTTTTCAGAGAAAAAATTGAAAAATATTAATTTTTAAAATACTTTTTTTATAAACGGATCATTACTTGTAAAAGAATTACTAATTTTTTTCATTATCTAAATAATTAATAATTATATCTAGATAATTATTTGCGATGAAATAAAAAAAATTCAGATATTAAATGATTGATTTTTCGGAAAATCTTGTATATATAAAATCTTGCACATATCTGTTTTATTTATAAAACATATGATAATGATCAAAAAGAACTAAATTTTTTCCCTTATTATTAGGTTATTATTATTTATATTGAGAATCATTTAAACCAAAATATAAATTGAAAGTATAATTTTTTCTTATTTTATAATATTTAAATATAATTAGAATAGAATAAATTTAAATTTTTATAGATAATAATATTAATTTCTAAATATAATTTTCTTTATTAAATTTACAATTGAAAAAAATATTCGTATGTTTCATGAAATTGTAAAAATATATAACATATATTTATTTTAAATAAATAATTTCAAATTTTATAAAATAAATAAATAAATTATAATAACATTAATAAGGAAAAAAAGAAATGTATTCTATTATGTTAAAAAATTGTTATGATCTTCCATATAGATAATTCTTATCTTCCAAGTTATAGCAATTAAGTAAAAATTTATTTAATTGGAATACGCATATACAGATCATCTTCTACGTTAAATATATCATAACTAGCAGTAATTTCTGAAAACAATTTTGAATATAATGAAAACTTTATTGAAATGAAAAGACAACATGTACGTTTCATAAAAATGTAATTATTAAAAAATAATAAAATAATTCCATGTCTACATGATTATATAGACTATACAGATTATATTTATTATTAGAAACGAATATATAAATATTTAGTAATTCTAAACTGATAAAAACATTGAAATAAGTTTATAAACTAAAATATCTATTAAGAATTATTTTTTAAATCGTAAAGATTTAATTTCAAATTAGCAATCTTTGTAAACAACCAGTCAATGACCAATATAATAGTATAATATTCCATCAATTTTACTCATATATAAATATTATTAATATATTTAAAAATTATTTGACAAATAATAGTCTTGGACCGAAATTTTAAAATTATGATATTTAGAATTCCCTCTATATATGCGAATAAACTTTTTTTAAGGATTTGTTTACGTAAGACAACGTAACATAAAAATTTTGAACATAACGTGAACATAAAAATTGAATGAAAAAAATTGCTATGTTGATCGAGATTTATTTATCAAGCAATTTAACTTTATACTAGTTAAAGCGAGGCCGAAATAATATAAACTATTAATTATTTAAAAATTAAATTGCTTTTATTTTTAAATTATGTCAGATTTTTATCTCAAATATTTAAAAAGATTAAAAATTTATATCGTTATATAGTAAAAATTAATAAGATAATTTTGTATTTATTTTTTCAAAATGAAAAATCATAATTTAACATCAAAAATATTAATATTAATATTAATATTACTGATTTGTAGTAATATTTTTAATATAATTATAAATTTTAAATAATGTAAATTAATATCTCACCTAATAAATAAAATAATAATAAATAAAATAAAACTTGTTTATTCCAGCAACGGAGGACAAATTCGATCTTGTATATAGAAAGAAAACTATAGATGATAAGGATGGAGTGGAGATAACGTGCATGGCAGAAGGGTTATATCCAATACCTACTTTGGATATATCTATCGAGTAAGTACTTCAACAAGCTTTCCAACTTCTCAACCATGCACTACGATCAACTATTCTATTTTCCGATTTCTTTTAGATTTTGATAAAAACGAACTTCTTCTTCGTTGTAATGAATTAAATATTTTATGTACACAGTATATATCATATGATACGTTTTTATTTTAATTTTATAAAAATAAGATTCTAATAAATATATTTTATAAAATTATTCATTGAAATGTAAAGCAATGTAAATTATTTATAATATTTTGTAAATTTATAAAATTTTATTTCCTTATTAAAAAAGACTAATAAATAAATTTTAATAAATTACAGAGTAATATAATTATTCAACTAAAAAGAAATTTCAATTAAAGAATATAAATTACTGTATATATGTATAATAATTATATGAAATTATAAAAGCTTCTTGTTAAATAATCGAGAAATAATATTTCGTATAAACGATATAACAATTTAAAAAATTCTTTTATAGGAATATCATAGAAGATATAACAAAAATATAAATGATAAAAGCATTTAAATGAAAACAAATGAAGGAATCATTTTATTTTTAACGCTGAAAACCTCTTAATAATAACAATGAAAATTGCCTCGTAGTGATAATATTATACTATTATCTATGATACTATTATCTATGATAATAAAAGAAATAGAATAGAAACACAGAGATGAATCGTGTAAAGGGGCAAAGTATAAGTTAAATTGAATTAAATAAGCATCATTATTATTTTAAATAGTCTTTACAATTTTCAAAAAAATTTTTAAGATATCATATCGATCGATTATCGGAATTATTTTACTTTTTGACAAATGCCAGCGCATATATTTAGCTTATGTATATGTTTAGATTACTTCTTGTAATATATAATTTTAAAATACATATATAAATATGATGCAAACAATTATTTGTAGTTTATGAAATTATTTATGTATATATTATTTTTCATAGAAAATTAAAAATAATTATTTTTAAACGAATCAAAAAATATCAAATCTTAAAAAAAAATCTTTTCTATAAGATTAAGTTATTTTGTATTTTAAAAGATTAGACAATTGAAAAATTAATTGATTTTTCATAATTTTGAAATTGTGCAATATTGAAAATTTTTCGAATATTTAAAATATATTTAAAAACGATTAAAAATTGTATTTGTATTATTTTAACCTTGATTACTTTAAACTTTACTTTTATTTGAGTATTTAAATTTTAATTTAAATTTCAAGAAAAATATACATATAATTTAAAATTGAAAAAAGAATTTTAAATTTACAATATATCAATTTTCAAATTATTTTCCATTAAAAATTTTCACAGCAACTCGAACTCAACATAACCTCAACATTCTTTTTTATCTCGTAAACATTATTATAGATAATCTCAAATTCCTCGATCCAAAGTAAAATTATTATTATTAACCAAGTTTGAAAATTATATCGAGGTATCGAAGCGTTCAAAGTTTACAAGAACAACAACAACGATAACGAAAAGCAAACAAAATAGAGTGTGCATCTTCGAAATAATATCAACATGCTAATGTTCATTTGGTCGACATATTGCATGATATTTTGGGTTGGAACGTAGCCACGATAATTTTGCAAACGTCGTTTCCATTGTAGGGGTGTCCTGGAAAAACAAGCAGCAAAGCCCACTGTTACGCTGCGTGCTGATGGACTGTACGATATCTTATCACGAACGGCCTTACTGGACGAAGATTTACCGGAAACAGCGATTGTCAAATGCTTGCTCGGTATACCGAAGGTGAATTACAATGTTTCCCGCAAAACCGTCTACTATCCCGGTTAGTATACATGTGATTTAATTTGTTCTATCTTGATCTTTCTATTCTTCCTGTATCTTTCTCTTCTCGCATTGAAAGCATTTTAACTTGGATTTCTTTATATTCCAATTATGAGAAAAAAAAAAGAGAAATGAATAGAAATAGAATTAGAATAGATATTTTATTTTTCCCAAAATCTTGCTTAAAAATCCATTAATATTAATTATTTAATAAGAACGGGACTGGATTTGCTCGTATCCGATATATTTGCCTGATGAAGCTTGCTTATATAACCTAGATAAGTTCGCTTGATTGTTTTAAATCGTTTATTTTAATCTTGTTTTTAATTTTTTTTTTTTTGAAATTATCCTCTTATAGTTTACGAAACATATGAGAAATATCTACATCCTTACAAAGATATGTATGTTTTTTTATTTTTCGAGTAAAGTATATCAAAAAATATAATAAATATGTATTAATTTAATTCGAATCATAATGTACCAAATAAGAACATAAATATAGAAAATAAATTCATTCATATATATAAATATTATAAAATCTCTTTATATAAAAGTATTCGAAATAGTTAAATATATATAATACAGATAAAGTTAGACTGAAATAATCAATTTTTTTTTTTTGCTTTTCTATAAAATTTTATTCGCATCATATCATGAATCATATTCAGATAGATATTGATATTATTGACATTTTAAAAAAAAAATTATTCTAAGAACAATTTAGAAAATTTTAATTAATAATAATTTTTGAAACGAGCTTCTATAATACTCAACAATTTTCATTTTATTATGAAAATAATTGCAAAATTATTTCTATTATTTTCAAATATTTCAAATATTTCGTAATAAATTCATTTCTTAAAGTGAATACTTGCTAAAAGTTTCGTTAAAAATATGATACTAATTCATAAATATATCGAAAATATAATATCTCTATCCTGAGTCTATATGTTTTATCTATTCAATAATAATGAAAAGATTTTTTTAGTTCGCGTATAACTGTATTTCTTATGAACGTATAACAAAAAATAAATTCTAATAATTCAATTGTTAATAATATTATTAATAATATTAAAATAAACGAAATATATCAATCATTTATAATATCTGTCTTCTTTTTGATAAAATTAAAAATGATTCAAATAAAAATTAAATGATCTAGAAGAAGATGTAACTTTATATTAATAATTTTTTTTTTAAATTAAAACGTATTCAATCAAGAAATCAATTTCCTCTTTTTTAAAATTTAGATTCATCTAATTTTTATACATTAATTAATACAGCATATTATTTTTTATAAAAAAAAGTATAATAACTTATTTTCAACATAAAAACTAATAATAATAAACTAAAAAATTAATTTAAAGTATATTTGAATTAACGGAATTATGGAAAATAAAAAAGTGTAAAATAAATATTAAAAAATTTAAATTAAAGTATATAATATAAGTATATTAGAAAATATATGATTCTTTATAAAAATAAAAAATTACAAAAAGTTATTATCATCAAATTACATTATTTTTGCTTCTTTTAATTTTTATTCGAAACATTTTCTTTTTTTCATCATCGAAATAAAGTGAAATATTAAATGATCAAATTATTTCGTTATCTTGTGTGTGTGTGTGTGTGTACTTGCTGTACATGTACTTGCATATCGAGCAAGATAAGGAGCTCAGAAGATGAACTACGCACGCGTGCGCGTGTGTGTATGTGTCCTATATATATTTACACATATATAAAAACATTAACGTAATACTTTGTCAACGTTAAATTTCGAAACAATACTTTTTCTTTGAATTGTTAATAAATTATCCCCTATCAGTGGATTTATATATATATTTTTTCAGTTCTATCGAGAACTCATAAATGTCCGCATTTTCATTTCCATAAAAAAATATTGGAACACACATATAGATATTCATTTTTATTCGAATTAGCCTCTTGGTAATAACATTAAAAATAATGAAAACATAGTAAAAAGTGAAAGTATTGAAACACAATTTTACAGGAAAAAATCTTTCTTAAAATCTATGTAAAACATAAAATCCGATAGCTCTAATCACCATTATTCTCGACTATTCTAACCACGAGTAACGCTGGTCTAAAATTATCTTAATCAAGCATGCAAGCGTTCTAGCTTATTATACGTATCCTTCCATTATCTCCGTAACGTCTGATGCCCAGTCCAAGATGACATTCCAGCGACAGGAGTCGGGTTCAAAGGGCAAAGTCCTAAGAGGATGGCTCGCGTCGATGGGTCAAGTAGTGGGCGTCAACGAGTGTTGGCGTGTGCATCACGTTTACTCACAGACGACCGGGTATTTGCGGTGAAACTTGTAACCCTCGTCCTTCCTCTTACCTCGTTATCATCTTGGTCGAAGAAGGGTTTTCAGTTCGTCCGATTGTAGTCGTGGCTGTCGCGGTGTAGACTAAATTACACACAGGTTAAATTGCTTGTACTCCGCAAACCAGAACGCCCTGTCTATTATCGTCCAATTTTCTCCCGCTTTGTCAGACTAAATTCTTGTTCCACAATTGTCCCATTCAGGGAGCTCTTTTTTTTTGAAAGATTCAAAGGAAAAACACGGAGGATGATCCTCCTTCGCGACATACGATTCTTCGTCATAGAACTCGTTTTCACACAAGAATAGATTCTTCGTTAGCCCTTCGTTCCTCCCACGTGTTTGCCAATTTGCGCCTGTCTATTCGACAGTTGAGCGCGTGACCAGCATCACTATTTGCTGTCAGCTTCTCGTCGGCCGACTTATTATCGATACCTACTACCGGCTACGATAGATCAACAGAGCAGACACGAAAACTTAGACCGAATAATAATTGACTTTAGTCGTTCGACGATTCCCAATAAATGAGAATTCGTCAAGTTAATCAAGTGAGAAACTTTATCCGAACGAAAATTCCGATTTTTTCAGATTTTGATATACAATCAAATTTTGTTTTGAATATTAAATTGCATGATTGATAATTGTCTCATTTTATAAATTTTCATTGAAATTTTAATTAAAAATTAATTTTAATTTACATTAATTTATATATATTTGTTCAAAATTAAAATAAATTGTAAAAAAAGTTTTCGATTCTGAAAATGTTCGAAAAATTTGATTTTGAAAAAGAAATCCCTTAGCTCTTATTCATCGCTATTTATCACTATTTTCGAATAATCGCTAAAATATTTTATCACTTTACCATGTAAAACAATCTACAAGTAACAGGTTGATAAAATTTATTATATTTAAGATGTCGTATCTCCGATTTAATAATTCTTCAAGTCCAGAAACTTTTCATATTCTTTCTTCTTTTAGTTCAGAAAATAATCAACGTAAAATATGTATAATATTTCGCAATCAAATTTAGAAAATTATGCATATATAATTTTTAGAAAATTATAAATTATACAATTATACAATATACAATCGAATATCGTTTTAATTTTTGTAATTTTTGTTAAAAAATTTAAGTTATCTTATTTAATTTAATTAGTTATCTAATAAGTTATCTTATTTAATTTGTTTTATTAATATTTATTTTAATATTGTTTTTAATAAAAAATCTTTCCAATTATGGATTGGTATGGATTGAATAAAATAAAAAATAGAATAATATATAAATATTTAAATATATTTTCTTTAATAAATCTAATTTTGATATATTTTTAAATTCTAAATTTCTGAATTAACGTGTTGTAAAATATTATCAAGATTATTATTATCATTTTTTTCTTTTATTAAAGTAAAATAATTAGGAAATTTATTTTCCCAAATGTAACAATTGTTTGTTTGTTGATTTTTCTCATTTCTTATTGAATAACTCATGCCGAAAATTTATTTTCTTTACCCGATTATCTCGTTTATTTGTCAAGAAATTAGCATTAAAAAAAATACGTGAAGTTTCTCAAACATTACAATGAAATAATGTAATAGTCATTTTAACGTTCTACTATGAATATATTTCCATGGAAATATACTTATATACTATACATATATATATATATATACTTATATATTAAATATACTATATATATATGTATACTATTCTTTCATTTAATATTATGATATTCTTATATTTTTTAAATGATGAAACTAAAAGTCGAAAAAATTTTATAAATAAAAAAATATTTGTAAACATAATATAAAAAAATTCTTGCGATAAATTCAAATTTGCGAATGATTTTTAATCATAACTTCGTTTGTTCATTTTTATATTGCCATATTTGCACGTGATTTGAATATGTATGATTAAACGAACTTGAATGCATGCGCATACTTATAATGTGTTTTTAAGTTCTTCGTTTCTTCATTTATTTAATCTTTTGATCGATCTTTTTTCTTCATTTATTATTAACAATCGTTTTTGAATATTTTATATTTTCATCATTAAATTATATAAATAATTATATAAATTACGTAGTACATAATCTATAATATAAAAATTCAATAATATCATAATTTTTGTAGATTATACACAATTGGAAATATATTTATAATCAATATAATTTTCTTGTTTTCATAATTTCTTTCATTCTTCAATTATTTTTTTTTATAATAAATTTTCTTCTCAAATTTAAATTTCAAAATAAATCAAAATCAAATAATAAAAAATTAAAAAATTTTACACTTGTTACTTATCAATATATGTTTTTTCCTGATAAAATTTTCATATCAAAAGGAAAACATTCCTATTACCAATTTAACTATTACCAATTAGAATTAATTAAAATCTTGAATGACTGCCTTCGTTTCTAACATTTTGACTATCTCAGTTCGTAGAAATATATATGCTTACTATTTGATGGACGCGATATGTGGTGTTTATTGTGCAGGACCGCCTACTACTACTTCAACCTCTACAACGAAGCTGCTGCAAAAAATGGAGATCCAAGCGCTAAACAAGTCAGAGCCTGGCAATGGTGGTGGTAAGACTTGTAAATTTCTCCTCGTCTATTCACGACATCACCACCATAAGCCACCATCGTCTATGAGAATTGGAACTTGGACAAGATTGATAATATTGTCTTTCTTGCACACGAGATTCCAATTGCTGGACGTTCCATGCCCAAATTTGCCGAAAACCTTAAATGCCCTGGGCTCCTAATTTTCCTAATTAAAATTTGAACACGTCACAAAAAATATGTGATATTTTCCCACTTGAATGCGATTCGAATCCGAAAGAAATTCACGTGTATTAATTTTATATTATATTTTATCGACTATATTGTTTTGATTATTTAAAATGTACAAAAATTGTAGAATAAAACAAAGAAGAATTTAAATATCTGCAATATAAACAAATGCAAATAAGATTCTCAATAATAAAATCGATTCTAATTCAGCTATGATTCAAAATAAAACGAAGTAAATCGAAGAATATTAAAATTCTAGTATGTGCTTATTTTATTTTCGAAATTAAATAAAAAATTAATTTTAAATTCTCGTATATACGACAAATTTTTAATTAAAAATATGACTGAACAAACTTTCTATAATTATAAAAAAATACTTTCTATAATAAATTTAAAAAAAAGCAAAATAAAATAAAAGTAAAATATGCAGAAAATTAAAATATTTATTTATATAAATTATCTATATATTTATATATTTATAGATCGTGCTATATGTATAAATGTAAACGCGAGAAATAAGTTTATTTTTATAAAAAATATTATAACAAAAAATAATCTCAATTGTACAAAATTACAAATAAAATTTCGATTTTTTATGTAAAAAATCTATAAAAAAAAATTAAAAATTTCGTCATCAAAATCTATTCAAGAAATAAAGAAAATCATTAAAGTTATTTTTTTCATCTCAATCATTGTCAATATATTCATGAGAATCCAAAGTATTTTTATGAAGACTCAAAGTAGTACAAAATAGTACAAAATTATAAATGAAACATTCAGGAATCGTATATGTTATTTGTCCAAAGTTTCAGATTAATTACTAATAAAGTCTGAACGAGAAGTTAAAACCATAAGATCGAAATAATGAAAAATTATCCTCTTTCTTACACGACAATATCTTACGAATTAATTATCGAATTGAAATAAATTAAAATAAATTTTAATAGAACAAAATTCCACATTTTTAATGATTCATTGATTGTAAATCAATATACATATATTGGAATTATACAATTTTTTTTCAATTTTAATAAAATTTAATTTAAAAAAGAAGTTTTAATAAATTATAGATATGATATGATAGATATTATTAATTATAGATATGATAGATATTTGTATAATTTATTTCTGAAAAAATATTATTTACAATTTTATTAATAATACATTGAAAATTCTTAATTGGATTTTTTTTTATTAATTTCGATTCATTCAATTTTAATTACGTTATATTTAAAATTGTTATGTATAAATTTTGTAAAAAAATTTTTTTTATAAATTCAACCAGTAGAAAAAGAAGATTCTTTGATATGATAAATATTTAATTGTTAATAACTAAGAAACAAAATCGAAAATATAATTTTCTTATTCTTAATTTTTGTTTTTTAAAGACTACAGATTTTCCCAGATTTATACAAAGAATTACAGAACATTCTATGTACTTAGAAATTTTATTTAAATATAAAAGAAAAAAATAGTTTTTAAGAGTATTCAATTAATTTATTGTTTTGTCTTTTTTCAGTTCTTTGATTATTTTATATTGCATAGTATATTCAATATATTCAATATATTCAATATTAATCTATTAAAAATTATTCGAGTTACTTATTACTAATAAATATAACTAATAAATATACTTTCTTTTAAAAAAAATGTTGATTAGTAAGGTTGATTAGTAAGATTTATTAGTAAAATTTAAATCTTAGTTTATTATTATTTTCTAAAAGAAATATCATCTTATTCTTATTATTATTATTTTTCTAAAAGAAATATCATCTATCTCATTCTATTTTTAAGAAATATCTTAATAAAGAAAAATAATTTATAAATATTATAAATTGAATATATTATATATGAAAAATTTATAAGTTTTTGTTTCCATGATTTTGTCAATGTCAATTTTTAAATTTATTGAAAATATTCATTATTTATACAAATACAAATATTATTACACGTGAATTTTCTTTCTGAAAAATTTCTTGAAAAAATCGTTCGCTTCGAACCAAATTTTAAATAATTTGTTTTTGGCATCATATTTTCCGCACTTTATTGCACTTTGTTTGATTTGAGGCACTAATATTCAACATTATATTATATTATATTAGAACATATTAGACACATCGATATGTCATTTTTTTAAAATCACTGCTTGCATATGATCTCCAATTTTTTCTTTACTCCATATTTTCAATAAATGTTATAAAGTTAAAATGTTAACTTTAATTTTAATAGTGTAAAATAAATTAAAAATTAATTTTATTAATGTCAAATAATAATATACTATTATTTTATTTATATTATTTATTGTTATATATAATTCAACATTTATTTAATAATTGAAATGTAAAATTCTTTTTTCATTTTTCATTTTCATCGATTCAATCTTCTTAAAATTTTTGAACGATGTAAATTCAATTGTTTTGAAACTCAAGTATTTCTAACATGATTAACGATTAACATAGCATAACTCGTCTTACGTATTATCATTCTCACCGACAATTAAAATATTTATATGATAATTATAATTGAATATCGCCTGTTCTAGTAAAATAATCGATATTTGTATACGAAAGAAGAAACACGCATAATTTCTAAAATAGCATAGCAAATAAATAAATACGAAATATCCACAATACGTTTTATAATGACTATACGTTTACTAAACGTTACTATACGTTTCTTCGTAAATATTTTATCAGGATTAATATTTATATAAATTCAAAGATAAATCAAACTTGTGAATGTAATAATTATCTTTCACGTAATAATTTTTTTTCAAAATCAAGTTATCATGATTGCATTTATAATAAAAAGAAAAACGAATATGTAATTTTAACACATAAAAAATTGCTATTAAAAAATTGCAAAAAAAATTTTGTTCCACAATGACAACATTTGATCATAAATAGAAAAAATAATAATTATAGAAAAAAATTTAATAATGTGAATAATATTTTATATATATATATTTTAATATATATTTTAATATATATTTTAATATATATTTTATATATATATTTTTAATAAGGTAAGGAATTATATAATCTTTTTATATTTATATATATTTTACTATAAAATTATTTAAATAACAAAATATAGATTATAAAAGAAAGAAATTAAAATATTTTTTTTTTAAAACTGGATTATTAAAACGATATTATAGTTATAAATTAATAATCTATAATAAAATATAAATATTCACGAAGAATAGATATTCTTATGAAATAATAATTTTTAATGCAATTAACATTTCTTTTTGACTTATTATATCTTTTCTTTTTCTTATTCTTTTTTTTTTATTTTTGTTTTGCATATTATTTAAAAATATATGGAAAACATTCAGATGAAAAAAGTTCGTGTGTGATGAAACATTTTAAAGATGAATATTCCAATATATTTTTGATCAATATTATGATAAACAACGAATCATCTGAAATTTAGTTGGACTGTTCGATTTTCCACGATGCAATATCGCTTATATCGCGTTTCTCATTTCCTCTAAAGAAGTTTTATTTCCGTGATAAAAAGAAGCTGACGAATTTTTTTGTGTATTCATCGACTTCTTTCTCATCGACGTCTCTCGACGTTTCTCATCGCATGATAGAAGCACAGTTCGCAATGTTATTTCTTTTTTAAATAAAAATAATCAAAAAGTAGATATTATATTATGTTATTTATAATATTATAAATATAATATAAATATTTATAATTATATTATATAAATATAATATAATTGTTTATAATATTATATTACTTATAATATAAAAATATTTTACTTATATTACTTATAAATATAAAAATTGAACTGAAAAATTTTTCAAAACCTCGAAGAATTGGAAAATATTATAAAAATGAAAATGAATTTACTGCATGAAAAAAAATTGAAAAAAAAACATTTTAATTCAATGGAATAAAACAAAGAAAATTACGTGATAAATATACTGTTTATTTTCGTTTAACAATTTTAATGTATTTATTTGAAAACCAATCGATTAAAATTTAATTTAATTTTACGAATAATATAATACATATTTAATATATTTAATATAACACATATAATATAATACATATTTGTTGCTCTATAAATTTTTTTTAAGATAAAAGATAACTTGGATCGTTAAAGCTTAAATACAAAATACATAGAAAATATTGTTAATGATTTAATTTGATTAAAAATTTAAAAAACACGAACAAATTCTCTATCATTGAAATTCAAAAAATTATGAAACTCTTAAAATGTATAAAATATATAAAAAATAAAAAACCAAATTCGTTCTATAATATATAGAAAATAGCTTTATTATTTGATATGTTTTTAAATTAATTAAAATCAATAATTTTTATCTTAAAACATTTTTACTATCTCTTTACATTTACTTTATGAATTACAAAATCGAAATATAACTAATTAATTTTATTTATAATAGGAAAAAATTAGCTATTATAAACTCATATATTTTATATATAATCAAAAATTTCATAATTTTTTGAATTTTTAGAATGGAAAACTTTCCTTATATATTCTAATAAAAATTCAATTGAAAGTGGAATTATTTTTTTAAAGAAAAGAGAATTTTGTGAAATTACAAAAAAAAAATTAAATTTATTTTATCTAAAATATTAAAAATATATTATAAGTATTCTAAACATTATATTATCTTTAAATTCCACAAAATTCTAAATTCTAAATTTCACAAAATAAATATAGATAAAACTCAAATTTTTTGTTAAAATTTCGTTTTCTCAATCATTATCCTACTTCTTATATATTTTCTTATTTTTTAATATATTTTCAATTCATTATATTGTTTAAATTTATCATCATGTAAAATATAAATAAATTATATTATCTAAAAAGAAAATTTTAAACCTTAAAAGTAAATGTTTTTAGGGTTTTAGTTTTAACAATATCGCCTTTTTAATATTTTCATTTACGTACAAAAGTCTAATTTTCTCTTCTAAATTATTAAAAAAAGAAAAAATATACATATATATATACCTATATTTTTAATCATTTTGTGTACATGTAGATTAATGTAATTGTGTACATGTGTAAATTAATCTTCCGAGTTGAAAATCAAGTATCATTGAAAGATAAGATTAATAAACTAATGGCAGTGTAAGTTCTGGTCGAAAGGGATGAAGGAAAACGGGTATTTCCTCTTGAACCTCATCAGCTGGCTAATACTACACCATGCTAATAAATAGCCGAAGTTGAGATTGCATTAATACCTTCTCCTCTTACACACTGGCGCAGGAGTTTCGTGGGTGATACTATCAACCAGTTTGCGAATCCATATTGCGGGAATTTGTTAAAGTTTCCAGGCACCAGAGGAGATATATAATTTTCTTTTTCTATGAAATTTGCAACATAGTAGTTATTCCAATAAAAAATGAAAATATATGGATCGAAAGCATGTATATCTAATTTAATTCTATTTTATTTTCAAAAAAATAATCAAATTATAATTTTTCTTTATATCGAAAGTAATTTTCGATAAATTTTTAATATTTTTTTAATATTTTAATAAAGAAAAGGAAGCAAAATATTTAATATTAATAAAAAATATTTTTACATCAAGATGCATTTTAAATTTATGACAAATTTTTAATATTTTATATAAAAAGGAAACATAAGACAAAAATAAACATTTGATATTAATTTTGGGTAAAAATAAATTCATAATTTGATCATGATATAAAATATTTGGTATTTCATACGATCACATATATCGCAATTTTGACGAGATTAGAACATATTAATGTTAATCACACTGTTAATCGAATTTCATAGAAATTCCAATGAATCTATAAGAACATTCTCCTCCTATTTCATTTATTTTTAAATATATAGTAAATAAAAAACCTTAAATATTAATTATTACGTGTTATTAAGTTAACACAATCGAATAATGGTCTTAGCAATCTACACTAATTAGCTATGGAAGTTAGATTTCGTTTGCATCAGATATCTCTTGAATCATTATCATATAGATATACTATAATTGCACCAAATCAACAGCATTCAACTCCCTATTCTCCGCATGATTAACCGATAGAAAGTTGAATTGTTAAGTAATATTATATTAAATTGTTTACACGTATAAAATATCTACTTATATATGTATTATTTTATCAATTCCACACATATATATATAGTTGTATTTACATATATTATAATTATGTTATATTAGAAATTTTAATAAATATATTATTTAGAAATGTATATTGCGAAATCTATATGCTTCAAAATCTTGATCATTTATGAAAAAAAAAAAGGATTTTGAACGGTTCATAAAAACTGATATTAAAATGATTAATAGATAAGATGATTATTTTATATAAATAATAACTTTTTTGTATTTAATTTTAAATAATTATTTTTTTCTATACTTTTCTATATTTCCCTAAAAAATGAAAAATTCGCAAAATTGTTTTTTCTTCTTTGACTTGAAAGATTCTATTAAAGCTTTTGTTTACAAACGCGACGATTAAATATATTAATATATATAATTATATATTAATATAACAAATATAAATGTATTTATTATTTTTTTTTCTTTATTATTATTATAATTATAAAGTGTATTTAAAATAGGAAAGAAAACATTTTTCATCGGAGATAATTTTAATAATTTTTCTCTCTCTCTCTTTCTCTATTCATTCTTAGCAAACAATTAAATCAGTCAACCATAGAAAAAAGTTCCCTAAAGTAGCAATGGAAATATTTTCTATGGTAACGATATAATAATAAATAACGAAATAAAAGAAAGTTTACAAATAAGAAAGTAATTATTCAAGAAGAGGAATTGGAAAATTAATTCTTATTGCTAATAGAAACTTTCTGTTGACAAGAATATTAGATAAGAATGAGAAAATAAGAAAAAGATACAAAGAGGTTTAATTCGTGGAACGCATTGCATTAATTTAAGAATATTCAGTTTATTATTAGCGGTCTGTGATTTAGCACAACGCCGATGTATAAAATATAATAATAAAATATAATAAAATATAATAGCTTCGTATCATATCTCATAAACTTTTGGCGGGTTGTAATCAAAGCTTAACACTAACTAAGAAAAAGAAAATGATATGTAACTATAACTTCTAGATTGAATAGTGTTTCCCTACGATCGAATTATCAATATATTTATTAACTTTTGACGATACAACCGATTGATTGGTTAAATTGAGTTTGAAATAATAATGCAAATTATGAGAATTATGCAAACTATTATATAATTATTCAACGAAGAAAAGAATTAAAAGATGTTTTTTATATCAATTCAAAAATAATATAAAAATTATTTTATTCTCTCCTTTATGATACTTGATATCCTATTAATTATTTTTAATTCTATATTTTTTTATTCGATTGTGCTTTCCTATCGTTAAAAAATTCTTATATAGTTAATATAATTTGTTTTGTCTTATTTAAAAAAAGAAAAAAATGAAATAAAATAATAATAATTATATATGTATATTTAATAAATTAAAATAGATTCAATTTTTTTTTATAAAATTAAAATAAAAATAGAGATAAAAATACATAAATATATAATTTATATTCTTCATATATATGATTAAATTAATATTAATAATAAAATTTTTTTTTAATAATAATTTTAATAATTTTA